ATCTAACCCAATGGTTTCCATTCAAAACTCTGAAATGTTTTAATTGTTTAAACAATTAAAGAAGAACCTTGAGAATTCTATGGTCATGCATAAAAAAAATTATGATACTAAGAGGAGACCTCCGCATTTTAAAGTCGGTGACTCTGTTTGGCTGTCATCAAAGAATGTTTCTACAACCCTTCCTTCAAAGAAACTGAGTTCTCTCTTTCTCGGTCCTTTCCAGATTGAATCCATTATTAACGACAGTGGTATGAGGTTGAAACTCCCTTCTTCTCTTAAACTTCATCCCGTTTTTAATGTTTCCCTTCTTAAGCATTTTCTCCCAGATCCATTCCATAGAGAACAACTGTCTAAACCTGACCCCATCATAGTGCAGGGTGAAGAAGAATATGAAATAGATCCTGAGAAACCAATGTAATAGCACCCTGAGTGTGCTCTTTATGTGGGGGGTACTGTCAGGACTTATCTTTTCGATCGGCTCCGTTCTGACATTTCCGTTATGCGGAACTGTCCCCGCCCCCTCTCTGACGCGGCTCTCTCAAGCTTTATAGAGAAACTGTTTCAAAATTGCTTAGTGATTTCTGTTTGTGACTTCCACAATCACATTGCCGGCTAAGCTCTTCTTCGATAAGTTTTGTGTACCGAACCTTGGACTGTTTAACCCCTTAAGGACCAAACTTCTGGAATAAAAGGGAATCATGACATGTCACACATGTCATGTGTCCTTAAGGGGTTAAACGGATTCCTGCCTTCTCATCTCCTCTGACCACGGACCGAATATTTGACTTCCCTGCTCTCTCCAATTTCCAAGAACCGGACTGTTAGAAGTTTAACCAACCTCCAGGCTCAAACTAACCTGCCTTTGGAAGACAACTCCCAACAATCCTAAGTATTCATTTCAATACCTTCTCTGGGTTTTTGCATTACTAATGAACTGTAACCTGCTTACTAAAAAACTCTGCTACTAAAACACTGTTATCAACATCTCTGTTACTATTGCTATTGCTTTATGCTTTCAACTAACAACCTGCAAAATCCACGCAACCTTAAAGCTACAGTAACTTTCTTAATTAAAGGATTTTAATTTCACACTCTATTAGAAATAAAAAAAAATCAAATCTGCAGTTGAGTTCCACAATTATTCAACTTGTGACATAACAATAGGACAGGAAAAAGGGGGAGGAGAAGAGGCACATTTTCCCATGGAAGTCACTTTTTAGCATGTCTTTTTGCAGGGTCCACAGTCTTTGGGCAAAAGGCTGGCCATTAGTCCTCTCCAAAAACCAGTGGCAAAATTGCTTTTATCACATATCTTCCCTTTTGGGGGGAGACTAACCAGGTACCTGACCTTCTGTTAGTCAGTGCCTGAGTTAGTCGAGCAACACATCCACAATGAACAATTAAAAGAGTAGCCCACCCACAATAAATGGTTACTGCACCTGGTGATTTTGGTAGCCTGTCTCTGTCCAGTGAGTCTACCAAGGTTGGGTTGATATCTGGTACTCCCAGTCTCTTGGTTGCTCTCTGGCTTGGAGTGGAGGTTACTTTATGGGCAGAGATCAGTGGTACTCTGTCCTGGTGCCAGCGCTTCAGCTGGGTTAACCGGTGTGCAGTCCTGCCCTGTAACAAAGGGACAGGTAGGGCAGAGGCCAGCGGCGCTCTGCCCTGATGCCAGTGCTTCTGCTGGGGTAGCCTGTAGGGAATCAGGCTCTGGACAAGGGTTTAGGGGAGGGCAGAGGTCAAATGCGCTCTGCCCAGATGTCAGCTCTTCCGCTGGGATGGGGTCAGCGAGCACTACCCCCAAGACCTGGGTGCGGATCTGCTGTCGAGAGGAGGGATCGCTTACCGCCTCCTTCGGGCATTCCTGTGGGGTTGGTTGGGGATCTGGACCTCACAAACTGCACGGATTTCTTATCTATCCTAGGTCCGTAGAAAGCCAGCAGCAGCTTCATCATATTGTTAAACTCTGCCATAGTGTAGAGGGGCGCCATGCTTGCTGTAGTCAGGGCCACTGTATGGGGAAAAGCGCTGCCCTACTTATAAATCCACGAACTGTGTCTTCCAGGATGCTTTCCCTCGCACTAGAGAGCCATCCCACTACTGCCACCAGATGTAACGGACCCTCCGTCAATCGATGCTCCTAGTGCTTACCAAGGACCATCAACACCGCACTAGACACCAAAAGCATTGCAGATTCCATGAACCGCCGCAGCATGGCTGGGAACTCGCGGTCCTCTACCCACCCTGGACCTACGACAAGGCTCCAGGTTCCAGTGGGTGACCCTCTCTTCCTCTAGAGAAAGAGCTTAGTGATTATAGCCCAGGGGAGTATACAGAGTATAGCAATCCCCCAGTGTAGATGCAGCCTTTTCCCCCACACATGAGACGAGGCTCTATGTTGAGGGTAAAACAGGAACTCAGCAGTCTGAGGGTCTAGTGTCTCTTTTATACAGGTTTTCCCACAAGGTTACCACCCACGTGGACCTTGTGGAGCACAGGACACAAAGTTACAAAGCCAATCAAAACAGGTTTGTACAGATAGACACTCCTAGATAATGTACACAAACCCTCCCCTCTGCCTGTGATACAATTAACAAACACAATGGACTAACTCAATTACCCAGAGGCAGAAAACACACATTTTTCACAAAACACAGAAAACACCCCAAAACACTGCATAGCCCCACAAATAATATTTTTATACAT